TATTTTTTTCTCATTAGAAGGAGAATGTCTTGGAGGGAAGTGCTATATTTACCCTTCTTTGTATCTACAGCACTGGTATATACTTACTCCTTGTATAGCTTTCCTGGAGAAAGTTTCTTCTTGGAACCCTAACTTCTTGTCTCATGTCATACTTGGATTTAATTTTATCCATAATTCCAGAATGAAATTGAAACCCAAAGGATTTACTATTATATCTAGATAGTTGTACATTCTGGCCGACTATGCAATTAGATTTAATCTACATTAATTAAGCTTTCCATTTTAACAAATCTTCATATTAAAACACATTTGAATCATGACAAATAAACATTAAATCTGCATTGCCATTAAAATATTTCAGCAAGACAAATTCATCTTTGTTATTCTCTCATTGCATTCAGTGGTATAGAACTTTTTAATCCATCAAATTAACATTATGGATTAGTATGAATAACAAAGTATTACCAAGTACCCATTTCATTACATGAAACAGCCTATTTCAATTTCTACCATCAGGTAAGTTCCCAATAGCCATTATCTCCATGTTCTCCATTCTATTTTATCCATCCTTTTAAGATTCATGAGAAGTGAATTGGTTTAATCACCTGGAGAGTTTCCGCATATTGCTATGTCAATGAGCTCACTCTCTGAATCAAGAGCCAAAACCTCCCAAAAAGTCTGCCTCTGGCCATAGTGCACACATCAGGGGAAAGGGAGACATGCTTGCTTTTCAATAGAAGGAACCCCATTTACTAAGTAGAATCTTCTTCAATGGAGAAGTAAAATATTGCAAGCTTTCCTCCCAGCAACAGTAAATAAGTAATCTTTGGCTATAGTCTTTGCAAAAAGAAGGCTGAATGGTTGCTTACCTTCCATGACGAAAATGATGGCAGTCATATTTAGGTCTGGGTTTTCAGTCCATTTAAACTCTCTTACCATTATCTTTGATCAGGCAACCACTATTTTGGACTGAAATTCAACATTGCTAGAAAGTAAGTGCAATGGGAGTCTTTTTCTTTTAAATTTCCACCCCAAGAAGAATACTTTCTCAAAAAGTAGTTTCCCTCTACCCTAGTGACTATTATTATAGTCAAATTTCCTGGCCCAATTCTTTGCAATAGTTACAGGGCAGGGCAGCTTCCCTGTTGTCTGAATGTATTCTGCAGTCACTTTTGTTCTTTCCATGCTCTAGCTAGCGATGAAGAACCCAACAGAGCCAGTCAGGAAGTCCATTGGCAGACCCAATGAAAGGCTGCAAAAATGAGCCCAATTTTCACAGAACACGAGGTCACAAGTACAAGATGGGAGTGACATAGTTCGATGGCAGTTTGTCTGTGGAAAGATCTGGGGACCAAGTCCCAGAGTTTCTTGCCTGGGACTCCAGTCACCTACAGCCAGGTCAGGCAAAATCAATTACATATTCTGAAACCCTTTGGCTATCTGTCGTTGTTGCTGCTGCTGTTTTATGACATAGTCCATAGTATGAGATCCTGGGGCTCTGACTGTCCTGGGAAACGCACATAAGAGTTAAAAAATGTTCATTTTAAAGGGACAGACATGAGTTCTTAAAATGCCTCAGGTCAACATATGAGAGGAGCAGAGTCTACCTGGAAAGGTGTGTGGTTTGGGGTTGCTTTTTGTTAACCCGGAAGAAGAGATTGTTCAGTATTTAGGAGGAAGGAGAAGGTTTGAATCAGCCTGTGCTAATACGACAGAAACTTTTATCACAAACATTTAGTTGTTGATTTAAACAAAAATAAGGTAAATTAAGTTTTCATTTCTTTAGTTTCCTTTGATAAGTAAAACTAATGTCCTTAATGCCTGAGTATTCAATAAATGTTCGCCTTTTTTGAAAAAAATTAAAAATAGAATTTCCTGGGTAGACAATATAATAAAATTCACTGCATGTGCCTCGGATTCCTAAGGCCCACTTCTAGATTGCTTTGTGGGAATGTAAGGCAAAAGGGGGATTCTTGGACCTACTCAAGAGTCAATAACTCACAACTCATTAGCAACAAAAGTAGAGAAAGCTCCAAATGCTGATGAATGGACTGATGCCCAGCTGGAGGAGGTCTCTTGGGAGTGCTGCAAAGCCCTGTTCACAGCCCTTGTCTCTTCAACATTCTTATCAATGATTTGGATGAAGTCAGATGGCATGTATCTCAGATTTGTGACCGATATAAAGCCAGGAGAGATTGCTGATATATTGGATTACTGGATCAGGATCCACAAAGATCTCATCATACTGGCAAAATAGATCGTATGCAATAAGATAAAATTTAATAGAAGTAGATCTAAAGTTCTACGCTCAGGCTCAAAAAGCAGAAGGCATCTTTAGAGGATGAAATATACCTGGCTAGGAAAGATACCATGTTAAAAAAAAAGACCTAGGTGTTTCCATGGTCTATAAGCTCAATGTGTGCTATCAGCATGATACAAGAGCCAAAAGTAGCTAATGAGATCTTAGGATTCGTTAAAAGAAATATTGTATACAAATAAATCACAGTGGGACTATGAAATAATCCCACTGTCATATGCTGTCATCAGACCAAATCCAGAATCACATGTCCTTTCTTGAGCATTACATTTTAGAGATAGTATAGCCTGAAATGTGCCTAGAGAGTGAGCAGAAAGCTAATCAGACTTATAGCCGTGCTGAACATGAATCAGCTAAAAAAAAATTGCTGGTACCTAGTGAAGAGAGGTCTTAGAAAGGATGCAATTGTTGTCTTCTAATATTTGAAGGACTGTCATGTAAAAGAGTGAACAGACTTATTGTGCTTTATATCAGAGGATGATTGATGGTTGATATTAGGAAAATTTCACTTCATCATGAGTAAATAATTCTTAATGAGAACTGTCCACAAATTAAAAATGACCTTATAAAACCATAGGGTAATAAGATCATAGATTGAAAAGTGGAAAAGAATGTTGAGGTTTTCAAATCCAACTGTTCATTTTACAAAAGGATGAAACTAAGGCTAAGAAAGGTTAAGTGGCTTGCCCAGGGCCACATATCAAGTTAAGTGTATGAGGTAGGATTTGAAGTCAAGTCTTCCTTACTCCTAGTCTGGCACTCTATATACTTTGCCTCCTTGGTGCATTAGCTGTCCTTCCAAAGAAGGATAGTTTTCTTTTGAAACTTTTTGAACAAAGGCAACAATAAGGTCTGCATGGACTTTCCCCTTAACATTTTTATTGAGGATTCTCACTCAAAATTAAGGTATCCGAAGTCCATTTTATGATGACTTCAAGATTTGTTGGTCACTTTTCAAAATGTGTTAGTGCAAAAGTTTATTGAATGAGTATTATTGATTTCTGAGCATCTTAACATATTTTCCCACCCAAAATCAGGAGAGGTAGAAGATAACTACAATTACTATTATACCTCTAGAACTCAAAACATAGAAATCTACCTGACTAAATCGCATCCCAACGGAGACAGAAAAAATATTTATCTCATCCTACCGATGTGAGAAACTGGTAAATTGAGTTATTTGCCCAAGACCATGCAACAAAAAGCCAGGAAGAGAACCTAGGTCTTCTGATTAGCCTTTTTTTAACCCACCAGGCCACCTTTCTCTTTTGCTACTGCATCAATGAAAACACTAAATCCTTAATAACCTTATTCGGAGACTATCCAAATGGACTGAGACATCTTTGGTTCTCAAGACATTGTCCAACTATAACTAGACAGATAGATATAAAAATAGATAGATGATGGAGAAATAGAAGTTAAATAGATAAATGATAGAGAGATGGATAGATGGATGGATGGACGGATTGTTACAAAAGTCTTGGTGGTTTTAAGCTATTAAACCTAAGTATATAGCTTGTACTTTCTAAGCTTGATGCCTTAGTGCTATCTCATCTAACTTAGAGAAAGCCCTGTCTGCTCTTCTACATTTACCAATCCAATTCCTACCCACCCTGCACAGTCCAGTCCAAGAAGTCTTCCTAGATTATGTCCACCCATAGTGATCCACCCTCCTCTAAACTCACATTACTTACTATCTATAGTAATGTTGTAATCATCCTTGAGATTACATTTGGGTAGGGTGTGTGTGTGTGTGTGTGTGTGTGTGTGTGTGTGTGTGTGTGTGTGTGTGTGTGTGTGATTCTTTAAACTTTCGTTTATTTACACCTTGTCTCCCCAATTAGATTGTAGGTTCCTTTAAGGCAGGGAACATTTCTTATATGCTACAGGATCATAGATGTAGATCTGGAAGGGATCTCAGAGATAACCAAGTCCTTTTACAGATAGGGAAACTGAAGCCCAGGATTTAAGGGACTTGCCCAATGTCACTGTCATATTATCATAGATGTAGAGTTGAAAAATACCTCAGAGGCCATCTAGATGAACCATCTAATTTTACAGACGAGGAAATTAAATCCTAAGGAGGTTAAGTGACTTGTCTAAGGTCAAACAGGTAGTAATCATGAGAGGTGGTATTTGAACTCAGGTTTTCTGACCTCAGAGCCCATGTTGTTCCTACTGTCTCACACTGTTCTCCTGGTCTTCGATTAGATGACTTTATGCTACTTTCCAATTCTCAGAGTTGCTGATTATATTTCCCCCCCACATCACTTAGCACAGTGGCCAAAAGAAATTGATTTATTGATTTTAAGAAACAGAAGAAAGCCTGGTAATGGAAAAAAAGTCTTCTGCTGTGCTATAATCATCACTTTGAACTCCATAACAAAGGAAACTAACAAAACTGATTATCTAAGACCCTGGCAGACAGGAAGCTATAATTTTTTTCATATGTAGAGTACATACACGAGAGAATAGCCATCACTCACAATCCCTGGAGAGGTTTAAAAAAAATCTCTTATTGTATCAACCCAAGAGAATTTACCAAGGTGTGGTTAGTAGCAACAGGAGCTTGATTAACTTGCCAGCTCCATATCCCTGTAACAGAAACCTATAACAGCCTGTTCAATTCATAGTCAACTGGTAGCCTCTCAGCAGAAAGTGGAAGGAAAGAATACTTTCTTACCTGTGCTCCAGCTCTCTGACAGACAGAACCACTCCTGAAGTGGATGGCTTCTGCTGCACAGTAGCCAGGAATGTGAATTCACTTTTATTCCGAAAGAGCTGAATTAACTTCTCGGTCACATGTGGGGCTGCATGGATCTCTCTTTCCACATCTAAGAGTTTAATTGAAGAAAAAGGAGGTAGGAGAGAAGAAAGAGTAGAAGAGAGAAAGGGAAAGGGAAGACAAAAGAGACAAAAAGAAGAAAAACACCCTGAGTAAAACTAGAGACCACAGGATACAGATTACATTTTTCATTTTTCTCCCCTGTCAATATTTTTCATTTTCAAGAGTCATCCACCACACCATATAACAGCATTCATTCAATACAAAACCTGGAAATACCATCTCTGTCAATGTGGCCACTTGTCACTTTGACAAGTTCACAATTGGCCAGTCACTGATTTTCTGACAGGAATTTTGACGGGACACTGAGCAATCGGTCCTGCTGCAAGCAGATTAAGTTGCTGTAAATAACGTGAGAAGCTGGCAGATAAACAGGGTCCTAAATTCCTAAGGACCTGGGAAATAACAGCACCCAGTGCCACGTAGCAGGCTCCAATTTCAATTTTACCATTGGCTTGGTTACTATCCCTCTAATCCAGTTAAAGTAACCCATCTCTACATGAAATAGGACTGCCATCACTACTGCTAATACAGCTTGGTATTTTTTAAGCCTTTGCTTAAAAAAGAAAAATATAAGCTATGCCTATAAATCACAGGTGTCCTTAGAATATATGGAGCTTCACTGTACATATAAAGTCTCACTGTCCATTTGCAGCTCTCTGAGATTGTAAATTGTAGAAAAGTTGCCAATCTGGATTGGTAGGGTTATTTCCTCATCAAGAATTCCCTACATATTGGGGGGGGGGAACCATGTAACATACAAAATGTAGCTTTCCTCATGGAATATTTATTTAATTAAAAATTTGTCCAGCAAGACTAAAGGTCTTTCAGCTCAGACAATCTTCCTGTTGGCCAGGGGTTTATCATTCTTCACTAACCCCATAATGAAGGCCACCATTCACTACACACTCAGAATTACCCCTGTCATGATAAAGCCTATAATTATCATACTATTTTATGCTAAAACTGCTGATATCAGAATCAATCAGAACCAAATCAGACAATATTCATTTTGTTAGCAGCTACTATGTGCCAGGTACTGCATTAAGTGCTGGGAATAAAAAGAGAGGCAAATCACAATTACTGCTCTGGAGAACCACATAGTCTAAAAGGAGAGATGAGCAAAAACTCAAGGGGAACCAAGTTACAGAAAACTATATGATGGGAAATCAATGACCACCACACAAACTCACATGCCATAGACTCCTGCCATACCATGACCCCTTTCACTGTAGCTATATGGTAAGGGCCTGGCCTTTCATTTTAAAATCGCATGACACACTTTTCTTAAAACCGTCATTAAATAGCTTAGTGCTCAGCACTGGTTCAAGCCACATCCTGTCATTGTATGTGTGCTCTGGCGAAAATTGTCCCAAAGAACCTTACAACAACGAATCAAGACCTTGGGTCTATCTCTTGTGAAACCACGTGCAATAGATTCCAAGTTCCTTGAGCCAGCAGCTATCATTTTTGTCCTTTTATCTATACTGCCCAGCCCAGTACCTAACACACAGTGGGCACTTTAGAGCAGAAAAAACAATAACGGATTTAGCGTCAAAGGAACTGGGTTCACCTTCCAGTTCTGTCATGGTTTTTGTCTTTCATTTTCAAAGAGGACCAATGACATCACGGGGCGATGCCTTGATTTGTAGGTAAATTGGATTTAAATGAGGCAGAGTTGCACCATCATCAGCCTCAGTTTCTCCTCCAAAGTCATGGGAGTGCAATGGCAGGACAAAAGTTAAGATGACTGGGGATGACCCAAAATGCAGTGCTTGATCAAGCTCTGAGGGCTCCACGGTGCCTGCTTCAACTGATGAACAAACTGTTCTCATTTGCCTATTCTCCCAGGGCAATCTACCACTATCTGTATGACCTCAAGCAAATAATTGCATCGCTCTCAGCCTCAATTTCTTCATTTGTTTATGGGGTATTTTTTTGTTGGGCAATGTGGGTTAAGCGACTTGCCCAGGGTCACACAGCTAGTAAGTGTGTTATGTGTCTGAGACTGGATTTGAACTTAGGTCCTTCTGAATCCAGGGCCGGTAGTCTATCCACTGTCCAACTAGCTTCCCTCCAATTTCCTCATTTGTAAAATGAAGTCAGTGACTTCTAAGGTCCCTTCTAAATTCCTTCTGAATCCGTGATCCTATAATCAATAAGCATTTATTGAATGCTAACTATGTACCAGGTACTGTCTTAAACACTAGGGATACAAAGAAAAACAAAAACAGTTCCTGCCCTCAATGAAATCATAATCTAATAAAGACAGCATGCATACAAGTAGGTATAGACACAATTACTACAGTGTGTGTAGAAAGAAATCTTAGAGAAGACATTAACTAGCAACTGGGGAAACTAGGAAAGACCTTCTGTAGAACGTGAGATTTTATTTGAATCTTTGGGGAAGCCAGGAATTGTCCAGACATAGGGGATAGTTGGTATAAAAAACAGAGTTGAGAGATAGGATATCATGTGTGGAAGAGCAAATAGACCAGTCTGGTTTAACTATAGAACAAAAGGAGGGAAATGATGTGTAAGAGGGCTGAAAAGATAGGAAGGGGTCAGGTTGTAAAGAGCTTTGAATGCCAAAAAGAGAAGTTATATTTGACATAAATTGACAAGTTCACAATTGGCCAGCTACTGATTTTCTGACAGGAATTTTGACCAGACACTGAGCAATCAGGTGTAATAAGAAAGCGCCTTGAACTTATTCAGGGTGTGACAATGATTTACACTGAGTGAGGGTCAGACATGCACTTTAGGAAAGTCATTTTGGCATCAAGGTAGATGGATTGGAATGGGGAAAGACTTCAGGTAGGGAGACTTTTGCAATAATCCAGGTAAGAGGGGTTTAGTTCACAAATGAGGGTTGTGGCTCATAGTAGAGATAGGGGATGTATCAGAGATGTTTTAGATTCATCAATGCTCCCAGGATAAACGAACATAGGAAGTAGCTAATACAATCAGCACACAGATTTGGGAGCCCACTAAGAAGACCCGTATTCAAGACCACCAAAAGAAATCAGAGAATGTTCAAGGGAACTCAGTTAGTAATTGACCATCTTAAATATTAAAGGAGTTACATTATTTTCATCATCACATCATCTGGGAAGAGCACATGTGATTTTGAAAGCTTTTTTTTCTTTACTGCAAACATACTCACCCTCATTATATACTAGGGAACTGAAGGCTAAACAGATAATTTCTCAAATGATACAGGACAAGGAAACCTGGTTTTTCTTATTTTCTTCCAGTTCCAGTGCCCCTTTTGGGGTTGATGAGAAAAGAAGAAAGAAATATGTTCCCTAGAGTCTACACTTCCTATGAACCCCACCAGAATACACTTCAGAACAGAATCACCTTTGTCAAATCCTGCCCAAGGCAGGATCAAGACAGGGCAGCAATATGGCAAATCACCAAGTATGGCTGAAGGCAAAAGAAGTCCACAGAGTCAAGGTACAGACTGTGAGGGGAGAAAGCATAAATGGAAAACTCAGACTGAGTTGGTACAAAGGTTTCTGTGGAGCACCTAAAGAGAAGAGTTTTGGACAAGTGTGATTCAGAGCCAGGAAATCCATACTAGATTAAGAAATGAAAATGCAGGGAGTGACTGGGTGTTGATCATTTGAATGGTTCTGTCTGGTTCCCCAAATTTAGTCTTTTTATTTGGTTGTTGGTGTTCTCAGACTATACGCAACACAAATAAGCAAGAATTTGGCTCCAAAAGGTCAATTCTTGCCTATAATAGTCAGGTTCTGAGATGAGAGGAAAAAAGTACAAGGCCAAAAGCCAGATCGGAATGGTACCTCAGTGTCTAAAGATCCTTTAGATTCTAGGGGCTAAGACATTTGAAAAGATCACCTATCACAGGGTCAGGGATCCTTTACCATTTTACAAAGAACAAATGACTAAGAGCACCAGAGACTTGACTATTTATTTGGATTACTCAACCTGATTGCCTAAAACTTTATTCATTTTGTTGTAACTTCTTGCTTTCGTTGCCCCTGCCTAGTGCTAATTATTAGCATGGACATCGATGAGATCCACTATGCCTACTGATTCAGCTAACCATACAGGCTTATAAAATAAAGGAGCTAGCTGGATGATCTTTCAGTCTCTGCAATATTGACATTTTCTCATACTTCATATCGATCAGACCGGAAAAGTTGGTTAAATAAATGAAAAATAGCAAATGCTGGAGGGGCTTTGGAAAAATAGGTACATCAATGCATGACTAGTGGAGTTATGAATGGGTCCAGCTATTATGGAAAGTGCATTGGAACTTTAAAAAACTATTAAACTGTTCATACTCTTATACCCAGCAACATTACTGCCAGCCTATTATTCACCAAGGAGATCAAAGAAAGAGAAAAGGAGATAGACAGATAGATGGACAGATAGACACACATTTCTACATTTGTGTATATATGTATATGTGTATAGACACATACACAGTGGTGCGATTTGCAGTGACAAAGAATTAAAAACTTAAAGGGTAGCCACCAATTGAACAAGTTACGGCATATGAATGTAATAGAATACTATTTTGCTATAAGAAATTATGAAAGAGATGGTTTCAGAGAAACATGGGAAGACTTGTATGAACTGATGCAGAGTGAAGTGGTCAAAACAAGGAGAACCATTTGGACTTCTAAAGTCTTAGAAACTTCAAACAACACAATGACCAGCCCTAGTTTCAGAAGACTTGTGATGAAAGAGACTACCATCTCCTGGTAGAGAGGGGATGGATTCAGAGTACAGACAGAGATCTTTTTTGAACATAGCCAATCTGGGAACCTGTTTTGCTGAACTATAAATGGTTGTAATGGGAGATTTAGTTTTTCTTAATTTCTGAAAGCAGGAAAGGAGACAAAGGAGGTGGATCTTCTTTTGAAAAAAATAAAATTTAATTTTAGAAAAGTTTCCATTAGTATTATGTCCCTCCTTGGCTCATAACACATCAATGACTCCCAGTGCCTACTGGCT